TTAAAATCAAAAAAACCCCCCCCCCCCCCCCCCCAAAGACCTTTTGGAGGAGAAAATAGTCATTACAACGGTGATATCACGATAGTATTACTATCCATATCATTAATTAATAATATATAAATAAATAAATAAAAATACCCATAAGTCTTACTTTTTTCACAATATTTTATTAAGATCTATCATATTTATCTTTGTACAAAAAAGTCTTACTTTTAATTATTTATTCTCCAGAAGTCTTAAATTATATTAATGGTATGTTTTGTTCCCAATTTATCCTTCCCATCAACACACAAAGTACGTTTTTTATTTATTGAATATAATTTTTTGCATCTTAAATTAAAATGTAATTAAATCTCATCTTTAATTATCAAAGTATATACCATATTAAAATGTAACAGTTTATATGTGAGTGAATTCTACTAGAAATGGTTTAAGCCAATTTAAAACCTAAAACGGAAACATTAAAAAGATGTATTTTTATTTTTAGGATTATTTTTTAAAAAAAATTAATTTATTTTTAATCTTTTATGTGAGAAGAAGACAAAAGAAAGATGTATTAATATTGTCGAAAAAGATATTTCAACTTTTATTTTTATTTTTTACCATAGAGAATGAGAGAAAGTGTTTAATTTCAACTTTTGTTTTTTGATTTTTTATTTTTTTTTTACCAGAGAGAGAGAGTGAGTGAGTGAGTGAGAGTAAATATAAGTTGACTTTTGAGTGTTTCTAAAATTTTTTAGTTTTTAATGTTATGAATTGGATTATAGACCCAATAAAAATTTTGATTGAATTTAATTTTTTGAGACTTTTTTATAAGACTTAAAATTTAATGGGTTTAATTTTTTTGTGGGCTATTAATGTACTTAAAATTATGAGACTTTCTAACAATTTGGGCTCTGAACTCCTTACTTTTTTTTTTTTATATTGTTGGGCCAACCCTGAATTCCACATAGTATAATAATAGTCATAGTATACATTAATATTTTATTTTATTTATCTCTTAAAATATAATATCATAATTTCGAGTACTTGAATTCTTTTTTTTAAATATGCCTTAAAATAATAATTAAAAATTCATATGTGAAGGGAAAAATAAAAAAAAAAATGTGTAATTTAATGAACATATCTCAATGATCACATTTATATTTTAATGTCTACATCGTTGATTTATGTAATGTATGTCTTTATAGTTGATGTTTAGTGAGGCGAATTGAAATTCATATGCTTTACCACAAGTAATTATAAAAAATTCTATCAATGACGTTTACTCTATCAATTCTAGGAATCTTTAATTTTAATTATATGTTTCGAATGTTATGCATTAGTTATTGGAAAAAAATTTAATTTGTTTCGGGAGACTACTAACACAAATTATTGGTAAAAAAATATTTGATGTGTTTAAAAGAAGGACAAAATTAGAACAAAACATATTATTTATGGAGTTTAGAACTTTTTGGGAATAATCATAAAAAATAGGACTTAATGGTTTTTAGTGGTAAAAAATAGGATTTATTAGTAGTATGTTTTCTTCCAATTTTATCTTTCCCATCAATACACCAATTACACTTTTACTAATAATATTTGTTATTAGGACCCAAAGCAAAATATTTTTTTAATTAGTGCATAACACCCAAAACATGTAATTAACAATAAAAAATTATAGAAATGATAAATTATACAACCCTGGGTTTTCTTATATTTAAATTTTTTAAAGCATATAAATTTTGATTCACTTGACTATTAAATCTCAATCATAAACACATACAATCGCATGAATTAACAATATAAAAAGTAAAAACTTGTCTATGACAATCATTGATAAAAACTCATCTAATTATGTTTTTTTTTTACTTCTCCTTCCACATTTTGAATTAATAATTATTTTTTAAGGAATAAAAAATTTAAGCATTCAAAGTTATTGTATTTATGAAATAAAATAAAATTTTTTTTTATGTAATGAATTTTATACTATGTAATATTCACTTGCATATGAACTAATACATGTCAATAGCGTAGATGTTTTGATAATTAAAAGTATAGCTAATTTGGATTTTAGTTTAAGATACATTGTTTAATAAATATAATTTAACATAAAATAATAAACGGAAATATAATTTGTATTTTAATGGGAATGATAAAATTGGAACAAAATAACCTATTAATGGAGTTTAAGACTTCTTAGAAATAAATTATCAAAAGTATAACTTAATTTTCCTAAGATAAATATGATAAGATTTAATGGTTCTTTTGAAGAAAAAATAAGACTTATTGGCGTTTTTTTCATTAAGAAATGAATCTCACACAAATTAGAGCAATGCCGCTTGATTAATCAATATCATTAATTTAATTGTGGACCTCAATATTTATTGAGATCTATTACCTATTCAATGATTGTGATTGATTAAATCAGCAAATCAAGTCAATTTTAAAGTTCAAGTAATATTTTTTCACAAATTAATAACTATCTCTCCCTGTAAGCCAATAAATACTCACTCTCGTTCCATTTAATCTAATAATTATTCAAGCAGAATTCACGTTGGTCATTTGATGTTTTATTATTAGTTAGTGATACCTAATAATAATGTTGACATATTATCACCGTTACATTGAATATTTAATCCGGAGGAGACATCTTTAGTTGCATTCTCACTTTACATTTTCCAACCTTCACCTTTGGGATCAAACTTTGGTACCAAAAGTTTTTATTCGATACTATATTTTTGTAAATAACATGACACGTGTAATTATTATCTATTTTGTTATTTTATTATAATAGCCAGCGTCTCTCTCGTAAAATGATATCCCCCACTGTCACCTTACTGCCTTCCCTGTAATTTATCTTCCTGTAATCAATTAGCCAGAACTCTTGCCTTGGTCATGCTAGTTAATGCCATGCAATCCTTTTTATGCTACCAAAACCCGTTTGCCACACACTTGACAGAAAAAATCAGCTAGAGCCTATCCAAGAGAGGACTAAATGGCATGGATACCAAGCAAAACAAGCAACTTTGATTCCAAAACACCTCGACAAAGTCACAGAGATGACTCCTAAATCAAAGTGACAGGAAAAAACTATGGCAGACACATAGTAATGCTGCGGAAAATGGCTACAGATAGCATACAATTTAAAGGCCTCCTAGCAACAAGAATGCCAGTCCCAAATATATTCTGCCCACTTTGTCATCAAAGTCCTGAAACAGATGTTCATCTAGTCTTCTTATGTCCACTCACTAGAAATGCAGATTTTACAGAGACTTCTGCCCTCAACCTGACAATGGAGGAATGAATCCTAAACCCTACACTGCTCTTTATCCAAAACACATTCAACACTGTTAGATGTTAATGGGATGCACTTATCTAATGGTAGAGAATGTGTCGCATCAATCGGTGAGGGGAATTCGGGGTACAAATTTGGTGAAAGTAGCATCTCACGAGTCTAGTATTATGGAATAATTTCAAAGTCGATGTTGCGAAGAAGTTGGAGAAAGTAGCATTACTCGAGTCGAGCAATGATTCCAAATTGCATCAATTTAGACGATTTGCTATTTAAGATGTTGGCCTCATACGCTCGACTAGCAGCTAGTAGCCTTCAAGGAGGAAGTTGTGATTACTTGCATCATGTTTTTGCTATATGGAACTTGCAGTAATGCTTGGATAAAATAATAACACTGCCACAATAAAAAGAAATCTCAACAACTATTAGCAGAAGTATCATTTATTAAAATGTGCTTGTAATTCTACAGTTTCTTGCTTCCTGGTGGCAAAATCAGAGCACTCAAGAACAACTTGTGCTGCAAAATTCACAATACATCAAGCTTCCCATGCAAGAAAATTGTAGTCCTTGCGAGTAGCCACACAATAAAATCTTCTATAATTATACCGAGTAGAAACAGTTCTTAAGCATACAATTACACTGCAGATAAGTAATTTATTTGTAAAGATTTTCTATTTGGTCTTTGTATTGAGCTACAACTCTGTCCCTTCGAATTTTCATGGTAGGAGTCATTAAACCACTGTCAATCTGCCATCCGAAGGAAATTGTTTAAGAAAGTGTACTTTTAGCCTTTTACATGGAATAGTTTTATGTTTGGAGTTCATTGAATTAACATTTTTCAGTAGGTATAATGAAATATTTCTGACTATGAAGGCATGGATATTTACCGTAAAAGGCTCATCAACGACAAGGATAGGCCCAATCTGGAATGAGCACTCTGAGGTCCTGCATACAGAAAATCTGGTTAAACTTTTGTAGCACCAATTGATTATGTCTGTCAAATTTTAATTGCAACATTATAGTTAAAAAGCTGAAAATATCCAGGACGCGTAGGCATATATGAAAAGTGGAGGAAAAAAAAACACAAAACAAGAAAACAAAAACATCTGGTTTGATATATCATACATGGCAGCCACTTGAAGACATTTGATCTGAAGTGCTGAGAACAGGCAAAACTCAATTCCAGCCATATATAAGTTAAGTGGCATATTAAGGTTGAACAGCCTGAGCTGTTACAGTTTTAACATGGAAGTGGTAGCCCTCCCAACTATTTAGACAATCATATGCAAGAATATATTAGAAATAAGAACTATGTAAGGGATGGTGATGTCCAATGGACCACAACTTAGATATCTTTTTAGAAAGGCTTAGTATTGCCTTTTTTTCCAGGAAATAGTCTTTCAAAATGCACAAGTCCTGGCATCTTAAATGCAAGGAAGTGTAACTGAATAAAGACAATAATTTATTTTTCCAAATGCACATTCGTATAGTCATGCCATTACTCTAAACCAGAACATTTCTAGAGAGAAATCATATGTGCAAATGAGGTTTTTATGTAGGGCTTGCGGTTTTTGTCTCTCAACTTCATATACGAATAAATGCAAGACAACTGGCAATGTGCCACCAGTGGTCATGACATGTGGCGTCTTGTAACTGCTTTTATACATTCTATTTTCACGTTCGTTTGTGTGTTACAGATGCATCATAAATTCACCAGAAGGAAAATGGTTCAAGCTTGAAAAAGTTTAGAACAAAAAGGATTCATTAGCATATGGAAAAAAATGCAAAATCAAGTTCACAAGAGAAAAATTAATCCATCCATTTGTTCTAACTTTCATTTTTACCTTGTTCTAAAATATTTTTAGCACACGCTGATAGGTATCATGTGTTAAACTACAACAAAAAGAAAAGACATGGGTGAAAGGGTTGATGTATGTCATATCTAACGTCTGTCAAACTGTCCCAACACTCCATGGGTGGAGCCAGGATAGTTCTTCAATGGACAAAGTAAATAACTGGTTTATATAACTCTAATCCTAAAAATATTGAAACCCAATAATATCACAATAAGCCATTGTATCCTACAAAATTGGCAAAAGAAATTATATTTGGAAAAACAGGAAATTAAAAAAACATATATTTCTTGCAATATCATGCTAGTTTGAGAACCCTAACAGGTTTGTAATGGGTGTGTAGGCGAATAGGCTATAATGCCAAACCATAGAACTACTCAAATATAAATCAAACCAAGGAGCAACTTTTCCTGAACATTTGGGTTTCCAAAATATTTGAACTTTCTTCTGCAATCATACAAAATATGATAAGCCTGGACAATAAAAAAGTGCAGCAACAAATGCATAATCTCCATCTCACCAATTATCTCCTTATCCTACACTATTGTTCCTTTTCTATTTTTCACCTTTTAGCTTGCAGTCAAAACTACATGGTATAGAACCCCCTTTTATGATATTGTGGGGTAATCTTATAAACTTCATCCATCAAGGACACATTCTTTAAAAACTTTACCAAACAGAATCTGAGGTGGGCCACAAAAATCTTATTTTCCATTTGGCACATACATGGCGCCAATTTCAATTAAACCTGCCAAATGTTTTTCTTGTCTCCTTTCTATAAGTTGGATTAGTTTGCCCTTCCCTACTCTGTTGCGCTTCCTCACTGAAGAAGTTATTTGGAGTTCTCAATACATCTCAGTTCTCTCTCTTTCTCTCTCTCTACATATAAATGAATAAATATGTGTATATATATATATATACACACACACACCCAACAAATGGAAACAAATATGACTGGAAAACTGATGCAGCAGTGGCTCTGCTGGTGGCTTCTCGATTTGCCATGATTCATTGGCAGCAGCACTAACAAGCCCTTTGAATGGGCAACCTCATAAAACCCGCAAATAGGTGTGTTTTGCAAACTGGTGTAGGATGGATTGCTTTATCTGATTCGGCAACATGCATGTAAACATCCGATAGGAAAGCAAATATCCTGTTATGAAATATAATTCAGTTGCACGAAAATGGCCATATTGTTTAGCTGATTTATTTTTATTTAGAAGAACATTATCAAAAACCAGCAGCAGTAAACTAGAATACATTTAGACAGTATCTGGTTCTAGTATCATCACCAAGTAGCACCAACTTTCCCAATACTCCAAACTGCTTTTTCTAATCTTTTAAAAGGCCCAAGCTCTAGTTTTAAACTTCAAGACCATAATTTACCTACCAAAAATACTTCATATGAGTTAGAAGCAAAAAAATACAATCTTGCAAAGGCTTGAGATACTGAAAGTCTTACCATTTCCTCAGCTCGTCATACAACAGGGTAGACATTTTTTCCTTGCTAAGTTCAGAGGCATCAGAATCCAAGACAGACAACTGTTTCGCAGCCACTAAAGTCTCTTCTTTGTTTGGAACAATTATAGCTCCAAGTCGTCTTTGATCCTACAAGTGATTGATGCCATCAACCCACAGAAGTATAAGTTAAATTGCAGCTTGGCAGTGGATGTATATTAATGAGCACGCTTTAAGGAAACAAGGAGTTGGAAAAACCCAATTAAAAAGAATGGCTCAATTTTCACCTGGCCAATGACAACAATTTGTTGAATCAGACTACTTCTCATGGCAGCTTCTTCAAGCTCTGATGGTTCAACATTTTCACCTATTTTCCCACATATGAAATCAGTTAGTAGTTTTTGGACAAATAAACAGGGAGGATAAAGAACATCTGGATAGCTGCAATGAGAATTGTAAAGTCAAAGGAATGAACCTTCCATTGAAGAAACACAGGAAAATTAGTAGATTAGCCAGACCACAATAATTAACTCAAAGAAACAAAACAGTGTTCTTTATAAACTGTCAATTGCCCAGATAAGAATATTGCTCCTCTTGAGTAAAATACCAGATCGCCAAAAAAACACCGAAAAAATTATCCTAAGCCTATAGCAAGAGAGATATGATTTCAGTGAAATTAATGACTACATAAATGGCAAGTAATTTGCTAGACAAAATGGATAATTTGTCATTGTTAGAGTGCTATTTTCCTATTGTTCTACCTCCCTATTATGTTACTTTCCTATTGTGTTGGCAACACATACCCTACACAATATTGTTTCATACTCTCTTTCTTCCTCTCTTCTTCTTCTATTTCTTTTCCTTAACCCTAACATACAATTAATCAAGTTTCAAGTGTCACCTACAATGAATCAATTTCAGAATGAAAAGACTTTTCAACCTTGCTAATGTACAACAATTGATGCATGTGCAGATAATTGCCATCTTATTGTTACGCATGGCTCAGTAATTGGTGTCTTTGCAGTTTTTCCTCTATTTTTTTTTTCCATGCAAATATGCAAAGAAGAGAACAAATAAAACAAGCTGAAAAAAAAAGGAAAAAGCTTTCACAGTTACCACTAAGTGTCATTTGAAAGATAGACAACATTACAAAAGTTCAGCTTCTAGAATACCTGTCAAAAGAACTATAGTATCCTTAGCACGTCCTTCAAGAACAACAACACCTCCAGAGTGACGACTTCGCCCTACTGAATGGTGAGGTGCAATCCAACCAATATCACCAGTGGTTAGCCAACCATCCTTATCTATGGATTGCTCTGTTGCCAGTGGATTCTAGTGCCACATTTAGAAAGAAATAATTATCATTACAAATCAAAGGCACCTTAAGGACTCAATCCTACACTTGTGATCCTTTGTAAAACTACTAGTAAAACAAAGATGCAACAGATAATCCACAGCTAATACACCTTAGCAAACATTAATTTAAAAAACAGTGGTAAAGCTGATTTTAATTATTGCAACAGATGCATTTATATAATTTACTTTTGTTGACTGTGGTTGGACTGTACCATAAAATCCCAATATCGGCGACTCATTGACAGGTATACTGGCAGGGCATTCTAGTATGTTTAAAAGCTTTTATACGCAGTATGGATAGAAATATTCAGGCCAATAAAGGAAGCAGATTCAACTCCTACATCTGTTAAGAGAATTTGTCTTCGTGTAGCGTGATGACAGTTAAAATATTATAAGTGATATTAAGGTTAGAAGAAAGAGAGAAAAAGAGAATAGAAGAGACAGAACGAGAGAATAATATATTGTGTGCACGCTGTGTTGCCCTACACCCTCTTATTTATATTAAACAATATCTCGGGTAATGACATAAACATAAAGCATAAAAATAAGAACTCTAACAGTGACAATAATAAGTTCTGAATAAATGAGTGGCTAAGAGGCACGGCCCAAAACTTGAGCATCTAGGTTTCTCCTAGTTAGTATTCAATCCCAAACAATGGTAAAGTAAATCAAATATTTCAAGCCAGTTGGGCATTTAGATTTGACAGGCAACCATTCATCCAGATTGGTCACAATGATAACAACGTTAACTAGATATGTGTAAAAATGATACCTCTTGATACTGTTTTCTTTGAGGAAGAATTTAATTCATAAGTAAAGATACATAAAGCTACCCTATTCAACATGATCATCACTATACACGAATAAGTTGCACAAGAGTGTTTGTTTACAAGTGTAACAAACCATTATGGCCGCGCAAAGCGCAGAACAAGAAGCATAGAAAATTACGTGACTGTTCACTAGAAACTGGGAATACAACCTTTTACAGTGTGTGGCAGATACAGACAATTCTTTTAAATATTCTTACAATGTCAAGCAGGAAAAAAATGATGAATGGACTAGATACCACTATTATCAATACAATATTTTCATTATCAGCCAAAACTGGATCTTACTGGCTAGTCCGTACTTGTATTTGGCCTATATCTATTTATTAGATCTCATAAGTCCAGTTACGAAAAAAACCTGACCTTGTAGTAACCCCTCATCACTTGTGGTCCTCTAACTTCTACAATACCCTTAGAACCAGCTGGAAGAACTTCATCTGTTTCAGCATCTACCACTCTCATTTCTGTATATGGTAGTGGATGCCCAATTGAGCCAAGAACCTTCAAAAGATTAAACCCATGAGATTCTTATGTGCTGTACCAACATGTATAAAAGTAGAGCCTAAGGCAATGTGTGAATAATAAAAAAAGCAACACAATACGAATTCATCCCACAAACGGTTACAAGATTCAATACTAGTGAAAGCATAGTGCCCATAAAGGGCATGTATCCATCTAGATCTTACTTCCACATATGGGACATGCATGATATAACCTAGCTCATTGTCCTCTCAAGAAGAACCAAAAATAAAAATTGAAAAGGAGTTCCAATGAAAGAGAGAGGCTGCTACTAGTATCCTCTGATGTGTTATGTCCTTCTAGCTATTTTCATATTTTAAACTACATAGGTGATCAACACTTACTAGTTAAGCCGGTAATATGGTATTATAAGAAGTTTCTAGAACACCCTTAACCAAGATTAGCTGGTGTCTAGTTAATTGAAAGATATCACAGAAGTAGTAAGGCAATTGGCAATCATATTAATGTCTATTTAAGTTGGATAGTTCCCATGATGATCCCTAGCGTTTCAGAATGATACTGTTATTTCCATCATTCTTGTAATTCAATGTCATGTCGCGAACCATAAGAATAATTCTTGGATTTTCAAAAAGAAGATACCAAATGGTATGAATGCATTAAAAAAAAAAAAGAACTTATCAATACTAAAGATGCCTTATCAAAACAAAATTCACAGAAATAAGACACATATATTGTTTAGCTTTGTATTTACCAACATTGGCTTGCTGGAGTAATTGAGTTAGATAAGCCCAACGTTTTTAAAATTGGATCGATGAAAAGACTAATGGATTTGGTCGTAGGATCAAATCAAGAATCGTAATCCTACAAAGTGAAAAAATAGGACTCAAACTATACATAACAATACAAAACTCTTAAAAACATAAATTCAAGCATCGGAATTTGTATGTAAAATATAGAAATACTATGACAAATATAGAACTCAGAGATATGATTAAAAGCTGAGAAATTATATTCTAGATATTGAAGAGGGGAAAAAATCATAGGTGAGTTGCTAATCTTGTAAAACTTGGTGGAGAAAAATAGGAGAATTGAAGTGTTTTCAACATAACTTTAAGAGAGGGATAGAGAAGATGGAAAGATCCGAAAAGTCAAGAAACTGTTGAATAAACAATTTGACTGTTTGACATCCAACAAAAAAGTAGACAAGAATGAAAAATGGCATACATACCTTGCCGTGATCAATTGTCGAAAGAGAAAATAATAAACCCAATTGTAGTTTTTAACTTCCAAATGAGAAAGGCAAACAAATGGAGAGTTTTCTCTAATGAAGACATATTTCAATAACTTTTGTAACCAATCAAAATTTCTTAATGGATTGATAAATGTATGGGACAATCACATATGGGTTGGTTCTTCAAGTATAAAAGCAAAAAAAATATAAATTGGGCCAGCTCAATTGCTAAAGGCACCTAACAAATAAACTCACCAGCTTGGATCTATAAAATTGAATTGGGAATCGGTATCTTACAATCCCACATGATCTGGATCAATAGATTCTATGAACTAGGAATTTTCAAGAGGCTCACATTGATTTGCTTGTCCCAGATTGTAGGATCTCATGATTCAGATCGAGATTTTGATAACCATGGATGTGCCAAGTTCTTTTAAAGGAGCCTTCCCAAGATTTCACCACCCACTCGCACACTTGTCTAAATGAGTAGTATTAAATCGTGATATCATGACGCTCCTAATGAGGTGTTAGTCATCTAAAGCTTTAAGTGATTTCATCATTCATTGCCATGGTCCAACTGATAAACCTAATAAAGGAAGACTGAAGCAATACATTAAAACTGTGTGCATAACTAAGAGTGGGGGTGCTAAGTTTTTCTCCAAGTGGTTCATGAGACATATCAAAGCCTCACACTCCAAGTGCCCCCAGAAATATATCAAAACCTCATGTACATTCTCAAAGTGCCTCCCAAAATACAAATAGAGGTATAGTAACTCAACTCACATTCATGCAAAATACATGGTATCTGAACACAACAAAAAAAGATCCCCTCTAAAGATGGCAAAGTAAATAAAATTTAGTCTCTTAATGTAGTCTTTCAACTAGTATGCCTGTATAACAATTGTATAACATCCCTGAAAAAGGTATTGATGTTGGGCAGAAAAAATAAAAGCTGTCAAAAGCGTCGAAGTCCACATTCATTGTAAATTAATACACCATAAACATGGCAGGGGTATGTAAATGCGTAGTATACTAGTATCACGTATCATACAACTTCTAAAAGAGATCAGAGAGTATGTTGCATTGTGTACCATAGGATCTCTATGACTCCATGTATAACACAACACGGTTCCCAGTGAATCACCTTTGCTGTCCACATGAACATATATCTATGTATATATAATGTATGTACTTCACAACCAGTACATATTCACAAATTGGAAATAATCTCCTATGCTGTTTTTATTCAATTGTCCAGCCCAGATTGCTTGCATCAGAGAAACTCCCCTATGCCATGTGCCTTTTAGATGCTAGATATTTTCCTATCCAGAGTTCATCTGATCACTTGAGACAACATAGCAATCAAGGATTTGTATACCATAAATAGAATACCCAATAAGGGAGAACAAAGACCACAGCTAGCAATTTCACATATGGAACCCTTGGCACCAATGTCACTAGTTTCCCAGAAGCAAAAAGATGTTAAATTCTACATCAATCAAACATATCTCCAGCCATGACAAATTACGAAAACTGGGCCTTTGTCTAGATTAAATACCCTAAAATTTTGGCAGTAAAAGGAGAACTTTGCTCCAAGATGCAAGGTTTTCCAAGGGGAAGGTTGTTTAATCTCGGAAGAACTAGAAGCCGATAGAATTACTCCAAGATAGTCACGGACCAAAACATTACTTTCACCATAATCTCCAGTTCTGTCCTATCGGCATCAAACTACTCATCTAATGGAAGCTGTAACAGGAAGGCAAGGAGAAAAACTCCGTAGAACCTTACCATTATATTCCAGAATAATATTACTGAATGGATTACCTATGAAGAAGTTGGCATTACCTATCAAAACTGCGGAAGAGTTTTGTAATGGTTTACTTTGACTCTGACGAGTGCATCCCCGAGGAGAAAAAAAAGGATTGCATAACCAATGGAAACAAAGATTCCATGAAGATCTACTAAAATGCTTTTTAATTTCTGAAGTTGAGAGATAGGAAGTATGTATATTTCATCCCACAGACACCACCATCACAAATGTGTGTGTATTAATGCATGGTCATGTACATAAAATCATGTGAAATACAACAAATTCAATACTGATCTGGCAGCTGCAAAATCAGGTTTATTTGGCAGTTCTCATTAACTACCATTACCAAAAAAGATCATGAGGTGAGTGGTCAATAATGTTGACGAAGAAAATAGTAAAAAATTTGCTTGCCAATGTACATGATATCATGGTCTGCAGATGATTCAAATGGAACAATAATTTTGAGAACATCCAAAGTTTTTGTCTGCATCTAAGCATGTGCAGTCAACATATTGACAGGCTTGATCAAAAAAAAAAAAAAACATATTGACAGGCAGTATTGTAGAGGGCAACCATTTTGTGCAAATAATACCAAAGGTTAGGTCTGTGGGCGTTATATTTTCTAATATCATAGTTGAAAGTAACAAACAAGTTAAGGATTCCTGCATTTTGAAAATGAACTACTAGCCATCATATATTGACAGGCACTATTGTAGAGGGCAGCCACTTTGTGCAAAAAATACCAAAGGTTAGGTCTGTTAGGTGTTATTGCTTCTAATTTCATAGTTGAAAGTAACAAACAAGTTAAGGATTACTGTATTTTGAAAATGAGCTTCTAGCAACCAGAATATGTGACAGGTAATATTGCAGTGGAGAGAAAGAAACAAGTAAGCATTCAATTATTTGAAAATGAACTGGATGCATTTCTTACATTACAGGTTGGACGTCGAGCAGCTACAACAGGGGACGACTCCGTTAAGCCATATCCATTCTGCACTTTTATGTCAATTGCCTGTGAATACACGAGAACTGTGTAAGAAGCGTTGACCTTCAAAATCCTGCTGCAGCCAGCAAAGAATCAAAAGCATCTCACCTCAAAAAACCTGTCAACATGCGAAGGTAAACTCCCACCACCACTTATACCAGCCTGCAATTATCACAGAAAGTCTTAATTTCTGTTTCCCTTAGTCCCTTCTTGCCAAGTAGTACTAGATTTATTTCACATATAAAACAGTAAAACATATAAATTCCAAGTTATATAGAAAAGATGTAAAGACCTCAGAATTTTGCAAGTAAGAAAACAGAAAGCTGAGGCATGATTCTCAGCCAAAGAGAGGGCACTATAGAATTTTCATCACAAGAAGAAAGAAATATACAAGACACACAAATCAAACCTTTGAAATTCCAATAGCAGAGTGAATTTTACTGTAGACTATTTTTTTTGCCAACATATGTAGTGGCCACAACATTGAAGCAATAATCCTTGCCCATAACCAGTCCAACAATGAATCTAGGTAGGATGGTTGCTGCGAACTTTTTGTTAGGTATTTCCCCTACAAACAAGATAAAGACCAATTAAAGCAGTATATTGAGAGGGAAACTAAGAATTCATCAGTGACATGTGATTAACCCTAATTAATGCATAATTTAATTAAGTGAATAGGTAAATTGTGTTAGCTAAACAAAGTTAAACTAGTTAAAATAAGTAAAATCAGGGTTAGTATGTGAATTAGGGATAATGCATTAATTGTTGTTCTTTTCAGGGTATTGTGTGTCAAAGCTACACTACGGGGGAGACAATTGTGGCAAAGCTACACACTATTGGGAGCCAATTGGGTCAAAGCTATAAATTACTAGGTGTCAATTGTCAAAACTACAAACTATAGGGTGCAAATTATCAAAGCTCAAAACAAAGCGAGATCAAAGTATAATTCAAAGCCGCCAAACAAGACTTTCATCCTCTCTTGTTGCCTATAAATACCACCCCTTAGAACTTGTAAAGTATCCATTTTTTGGTAGTAGAAAACCCTCCAAAAGTGTTATTACTTTTTTTTATTATTTTCTTTAAGTATTACTTTCTTTTAATTTATTGTTTTCTTTAAGTATTGTTTTCTTTTAGTGTATTATTGCTTTCTTTTTATTTATTACTTCTTTTACTTTAAGTATTGCTTTCTTTTATTTCTATTGTTTGAGCTTCCTTCTTCCCTTAGAGGAGTGAACCTCTTCCACTTTTCTAGAGCTTACCAAAGCCGTGAAGGGTGGAACGTGATTCACTCATTCTTTGTCGAAGATCGGCTCCTTGTATAATATATTTTACCTTGTAATTCCTCTACTTAGAGGGATGAGCATCACTCACTTTTCTAACTTTACCAAAGCCATGGAAAGTGAGTAGTTTCTCATCCAATCTTTAGTAAGAGGTGATGAACATGTATAATTATCTGGAAGTTATATTTGTGCATTTCGTTTATGCTTAGCTCCAGTTTTTATTTCTTCATAATGTCTTCTCATTATATTGTTGTCTTTACCTTAAGCATGAGTAGCTAAGTCTTTAAGTTGGCTAATCTAAGGGAAACCTCCTCTTGGGTATGCCATTTCAAGTCATCTTCTTTCCTCCCCTCGTTGTACGATGGTTCAATTTGACTGCGTTGAGTGAGGACATGGTGGGAGTCTTTGATAACCCGTAGATTTGTTACGGGTTATGCTTGGATCCTCACTTCCATCTCGTCCCTCGCTTCCCACGAATCAATTGTTAATCTATGCACCATTGAAGGAAGGTTCTAAATTGATTTAACATTCCCATTGGAGTGAACCCTTCGAATTAGCCAACACTTGTTTCCCATTTAAATTTCATCACAATCACAAATCAACCTTCAACCAACAAAAGATTTTCACTTTGTTTTTACAAAAAAAATCACCTTCATGATGATACACCTCCTTCCCTGAGGAGAAGACATTGGAATATGATTCCAAATAAAACACGACAAGCAAAAATCTCTCTGCGCTTGGGGAGCATTTTTGTTCACACACACACACATTTGAAATTTTATTCATCCACCATTTCGTTGCCCTTTCTTTTGACATCATTCCAAGGGAGAGTGACATTCTCCTACACATGTCTGGAGGTTAGGTTATTACAACGGAAACGATCAAGCATTTTTTATACACCGAGTACGGAAGGAGGTTCATACTAGCCCCCAAATCAAGGAGTGCTTGCTCCACCCGACAATTCCCGATTGTTATGGCAATGGTGGGACAGCCGAGGTCTTTAAACTTTGGAGGGGTGTTTGTCCTCAAAATCAAACTCACTTGCTCCGTGAGGAATGCTTTCTTGTGGATATTGAGCCTCTTATTCACAGTACATAAGTCCTTCAAGATATTTGCACAAATATTTATTTTATCGCATCAAGGAGTGAAATATTTATTTTCACGTGCTTAAACATTTCAATGATATTAGAATAATTAGCCACCTTGACGGGTGGCTTCAAACGATTGGGAAAAAGAGCAGGCGTAGAAGAAACAAGCACATTTTCATCAATAAATTTTTTATTCTCAACTACCTCACTTTCTCCTCACTCATTCCACCCTCGATGGTGTCACCCATGGTCTCTTTTTCTTTTGGTAATGTGGCCTTGGGTGAGACTTTTGACACAATGGTCTTATCAATTTATTTGCCACTACGAAGGGTGGTAACCGCCTTGAGTTGCTCACAACTCTCTTAAGGGCTCTCTGATGACTCAACGACATGTTGACCTCTAGGGTTCTCTTGGGGTTGAGCGAAAAATTTTCTTTTCTCTTGTTGTGATGCTCCCATAGAGATTGTCAGCTTCGTGAGTTGGGCTCGAATGTCATTAAAAGCTACAGCATTTTGTTTGTTGATAGTAGTCTGACTCTGAATGAAAGCATGAACCATATCCTCCAAATTCCTCTTGTGGGGAGGTTATTAGGTGGGAGGATTGGATGACCCTTGGGAAAAGCTTTGTGGGGGTGGCTTGGTGAAAAATTTTGTGGTGTTGGGTTTGACGAATACCCTTGCGGATTGGTCCGGGGGTATTGGGAGCTAGACGCTTGACCTTGGGATTGAAATTAATTTTGCCTAATAGGCACGAAAGGTGTGTATGCATTTGAACCATGAGGAATAGGACTCTCATTTCTCCAACTAAAGTTCAGGTGATTGCTCCAACCCGGATTGAATATAGAGAGAATGATTACCTCGTTTGGTTAAAGACATTGACTTGCTCGTGATACACTTCCTTAAGTGCCAGAATATTAGGACACACCGATATGGAATGATCTATACTCTCACAAATTGAGCAGCACTCCTCAATCTTTGAAACATTTGACACCTCGTGTCTCCTGTTTACCTCAAGACTCTCAACCTTCCTAGACAACTTGACAATTTTGGAAAGCAAGTCTTCCTGGTCTCTCAAGTCATAAATCCCTCCTCCATGAGTTTGGCTATTCCCTTGAGGAAAAGACCTTGGTACATCAGTGGGATCCGTAATGTCCCATGACTGTGCATTTTGTGCTAATGTATCAAAGTAGTCTAAGGCCTCATCAGGGTCCTTACTCAAAAACTCTCCATTACACATCATATCTATGAATTGTCGATGGCCCGGTGTGATTCCCTCATAGAAGAAACTCACTAACTGCCATGGTTCAAGGTTATGATGTGGAATGGATTGTAACAACTCCTTGTACCGATCCTAACATTGGTAGAATTGCTCATTGGACTTCTCTGAAAAGTTTTGAATTTCTTTTTTTAAAGTGGTGGTTTTATGCACCGGAAAAAATTTCTTTAAAAACTCGGAGAGCATTTGGTTCCAAGATGTTATGGATCGAGGTCTCAAGGAATTAAGCCATATTTTTGCCTTATCTCTTACGGAAAAAGGGAACAATTTCAGCCTAGCTGTGTCTTCCATACCACGAGTGGTGAGAAAGATTGCAACTATTTCCTCGAATGATGTCAAGAAATGGCAACGGAATAGTGGATGAATGAAATGTCAAATATGTGTGTGTGTGTGAACAAAAATATCCCCCAGCGCAGAAAGACTTTTGCTTGTCGTGCTTTACTTCGAATCGTATTCCAAGGTTGTCTCTTCAGGGAAGGAAGTGTATCATCATGAAGGTGATTTTTTTGTAAAAACAAAGTGAAAAATATTTTGTTGGTTGAAGGTTGGTTTGTAATTGTGATTAAATTTTAATGGGAAACAAGTGTTGACTAATCCGAAGGGTTCACTCTAATGGAAATGTCAAGTCAACTCGGAACCTTCCTCCAATGATGCATAGATGAACGATTGATTCGTGGGAAGCGAGAGACGAGATGGAAGTGAGGATCCAAGCATAACCCGTGACAAATTTACAGAATATCAAAGACTCACACCATGTTCTCACTCAACCCAGTCAAACCGAACCATTATACAATGAATGGAGGAAAGAAGATGAATTGAAATGGCATACCCAAGAGGAGGTCTCCCTTGGATTAGCCAACTTAAAGATTTAGCTACTCATGTTTAAGGTAAAGACAAAAATGTAATGAGAAAACATTATGAAAAAATGAAAACTGGAGCTAAACATAAATGAAATGCACAAATATAACTTCCGGATAATTATACATGTCTATCACCTCTTACTAAAGATTGGATGAAAAATTACTCACTTTTCATGACTTTGATAAAACTAGAAAAGTGAGTGATGCTCATCCCTCCAAGTAGAGGAATTACAAGGTAAAACATATTACACAAGAAGCCGATCTTCGACAAAGAATGAGTGAATCATGTTCCAACCTTCACGGCTTTGGTAAACTCTAGAAAAGTGGAAGAGTTTCACTCCACTAAGGGATGAAGAAGCTCAAACAATGAAAATAAAATAAAACAATATTTAAAGTAAAAGAAGCAATAATACACTAAAAGAAAACAAAACTTAAAGAAATTAATAAATTAAAAGAAAGCAATAATACATTAAAAGAAAGCAATAATACACTAAAAGAAAGCAATATTTAAAGAAAACAATAACACTTTTGGAAGATTTTTCACTATAAAAAGATGGATATTTTACAAGTCCTAAGGGGTAGTATTTATAGACAACAAGGGAGGATGAAAATCTTGTTTGGGGGGCTTTGAATTACACTTTGATTCCCCTTTGCTTTGAGCTTTGATAATTTGCACCCTATAATTTGTAGTTTTGACAATTGACACCCAGTAGTTTGTAACTTTGACCCAATTGGCTCCCAATAGTGTGTAGCTTTGCCACAATTTTCTCCCCCGTAGTGTGTAACTTTGACGCACAAAACCCTGAAAAGAACAACAATTAATGCATTATTCTCAATTCGCACACTAACCTTGATTTGACTTATTTTAACTAGTTTAACTTTGTTTAGCTAACACAATTTACCTATTTAATTAATTAAATTATGCATTAATTAGGGTTAATCACACCCTTTAATTGCATTGAT